CGGAAGGTAGAAATTGAGGATATAAGTTTCCAATAGTAAGATCCCACTAAGAGCGCAGCCTGAAAGCTTCAGTCCCATACTTGCCCTTTAGCAGAGTGAGGTTGTTGCAACCTCAGGAAGAGTTAGGCAGAAAGAGCTGTTTTTGTTTTTTTAAGGATGGAATACAATCATCCCCACTCCAGTTATCCTTCTCTCTAGATCTCTGGGATTAAAACTGGGACTTTCATTTTTTCTTATGAAAAATTTGAGGTCGTCAGTTACATCATCACACTTATTTTTCTGACTTGTCCCCTTTTACCAGTTATTCGCCTCCTCTAGGCAGGCCAGGCCAGGCAGTAGGCATCCGACAGGCCGAAAGCTTCCCTCTTAGTCCCAGTATGATATTTTACAATTCTGCCTGTAGCTAGTAGTCACTGTAGCCTCAGCTCAGTGGACCCCAAGGCTTGCTTTCTTTTTGCTTTCAGTTTGCCTAAAAGCAAGATCAAACCCACACATCTACCACATCAAAAGTTTATTTCTCCTCCTTTAGTCCCCCATCCCCAAACCATTTTACAGACACTAAAATGGCCTCCGCAGGCTCCATGCATCCTGTGTCATCAACACTACTGCCCAATGCTTTTCATGAAGTTGAGTAATTTTCTTTTCCTTCTAGCTTACCTCTGAACTTCTATGACTCAAAGCAGCAGCTGTCTTTCCCTGTATGTCCCCGTCCGGTCTCATTTACCTTCTCGTTTAAAGCCGCCTTCCACCTTCGTGGCTTTTATGGATGGTGCAGGCTAAAATCTTACGTGTTCCCTTCCCACCTAGGCTTTCAGAAATCACTAACTGCTTAACCCTGACCTGCAACTGCGTCTCCATTTGGTCTTCCGGATTTACATTATTCTTGCCGCACCTGTTTTCCTTTTCCTGAATGTTCCATCCACATAATTGTTACAAGGTTTTAGCCTTCGAAAGTCAACTGGAAATGCTCAGACTTGTTTGGAGGAATCTCAGCAAGAAGCTTATTTCTTCAAAGTCACCCTTCCCTGAGAACCAACATCCTTCTCTGACACCAGATCCTGCACGGGGTCTCCCCTAATCACTTGATTCCTGTGTTTGGTTTTGTAGTAGAACCGGGCACCATAGACAGAGAAAGCCTGAACCTCCCTGAGGAGGTCTCTTAGGGAGGGCTCCAGAACCAAGTATGCTCTCGAAGAATTTGGTTGTGAGGGAGATGCTGTCAGCAATTAGGGCTTCACATCTAAGCATAAACATTGCTGACAATTACTTGGATTTTTTTCCTGTTCTGCACCTAATGATACGATTCTTAAAAGGATGTTCTCTTCTTGTAGCTTTTTGCCTGATTATCGTAAAAGATAATCATGTGTTTCTTCTTGTCCATCTTCCCTAATGGACGTTAGAGCACATGCTGGAAGGGATGTGTGCATTTCATTCATGGCTGTGCCTGGTTTCTCAAAGTACCTCGCCCACACATTTCATGACTCTTTACTAAAGCCGTATTTCTGATTTCTCTAAGTGAACAGAGATATGATGAGAGAAGAAAGGGGAAAGGCACCCGCTAAAAAACTTACTTCTCAAGGGGTCCCATGTTGAGACAAAAGAAGAGTAAACCTCATGCCTGAATATGTCCTGTTTCCTAGAGGACGCCTGCCTGGTACCAGGGAGCTTGGTGAAAGGCTCAGGTGAACAATTTCATGCTAACTGTAAAATGCAAACCCACCTTTCTGGGACGGTAATGTTGCAGCACTCTAAAGCACATAGCGTTTGAATTAGTTTGGACAATATTCTGCTTAAAGGACCTAGAGTGTTTTTTTTTAGACAGAGTCTCCCACTGTTGCTGGGGCTGGAGTGCAGTAGCGTGATCTCGGCTCACTGCAATTCCAGCTCCTGGGTTCCAGCAGCTGGGATTACAGGCACGCGCCACCACGCCCAGCTAATTTTTTGTATTTTTAGTAGAGACAGCATTTTACTATGTTGGCCAGGGTGGTCTCAAACTCCTGACCTCGTGATCCACCCGCCTCAGTCTCCCAAAGTCTGGGATTACAGGTGTAAGCCACTGCGCCTTGCCTGGAGTTTTAATTCACACACTAAATCGAGACTTAAATATAAAGCAGGGCCCCGGGAGCAAGCCATGGTGAGGTTGCACATCAGGTTTCTCTTGCCCTGTTTTAAAAATCTTTCACTGTTTAAATCTGTTGATTTCTAAATCATAACTATAATGCTGGAACAGGAGATGGGACCCCAGCTTTTATTTAGCACTTGACTGAAATGTAACGTAGACTTCAGCTTTTATATTAAATAAATGTCAGCTATTGTTCATCTCCAGTGAAGAGTAAACCTTAGATGACAAGACGATAAGGAGGTAAGATAGAGCCAAGGAATTTAAAACATTTTAACAGTTCAGGGAAAATGATAAAATCTCTTAATCTAGAGATATAAAACTGGGGCAGCAAAAGGTACTAGTAGCCATCTAGTCTTGTTTGTCCTACAGTAAGAACAGCAAGACCATGCTTCAGGAAAGCTGTACAGTGCAAACAGCCCCCACTGCCTCCGAGTTTATTGAGCAGGGGTCTCTTTCTTTTTTGAGATGGAGTTTCACTCTTGTTACCCAGGCTGGAGTGCAATGGCGCGATTTCTGCTCACCGCGATCTCCGCCTCCTGGGTTCAAGCAATTCTCCTGCCTCAGCCTCCTGAGTAGCTGGGATTACAGGCACGCCCCACCATGCCCAGCTAATTTTTTGTATTTTTAATAGAGACGGGGTTTCACCGTGTTGACCAGGATGGTCTCGATCTCTTGACCTCATGATCCACCCGCCTCAGCCTCCCAAGAGTAGGGGTCTCTTTACAGAGGAGACCCAAGCTGAAACTCTCTTGCTGTGGTGTTCTAGAAACTCAGTGGTGAAGGCTGATCTGTGACTCTTCCCCAGATTCCTTGAATTCATGAGCGTTAAGGCCTAAGATTTAACATGCAGTTAACCTTGTTAACAAAGGTGCCTTCATACTGAGGAGACATTAAAGCTTAGCTACACAAATATATCTCGTCTCCTCCAGTGCTTAAAAAAAAAAAACAAAAAAACTACTACAAGCTGGGCAGAATCATGGTAAAGAAGAATTTTCCATTGCTTCAAGCAGAGCAAATAGAATCTGCCGATAGTGCTTCTCCTGAGTTTCACTAGGGACATTAGATTTGTAGTGGTTCATTTCAAAGCCAGGCTTCCCCTTTCAGGGACTGTTTTGTCACCTGCAGGCTGAAGCGTTCTTCTCAGCTGAAGATGCAAGGTTGCCCTACAGAACATTTGGTAATCAGGGTGGGAAGGGAGGAAAACATTTGCACGTGGCAGTCTCCGAAACAGGGTGGTAATCGCTACTTGAGAGGAGAGAACCTAGGTTTTCCTTAAGATTCAGCAGAGTCAGCAGTGATGGTGTCACATTATAAACAGCCAGGCTTTCCACTTGGCCCTAGCTCTGGTAGCATTAAAAAAAAAAAAAAAAAAAAAAAAAAAATCTGAGCTGGAATAAGGATATTCAGGGCCAGAGTCAGGGAAATGGAGCCACAAAGGACAAGGAGGGGGATAGGGACAGGAGGAGGCTGAGCAGCTGTGGGCAGAGTCTCTGAAGGTGGCGGCCTCCCAACCTGCTCAGGGCCTCCCGGGGCTGAGGACAGGAAATGCGACGGTTGTTTCAATGAAGAGCCCTGGAGGAGAGAGATCCCAGCCCGGCTGACAGATCCAGTCTTTCCCTGCCTCCCTGTGGGATTCGGGAGGGTAAGCTGAGGATCCTCTCTGCGTGAGGACCGCTCCGGGTGCCCCGCACGCCTCCACCTCTGCCATTCTCACGAAGAATCCTGGAGATGTGCCAGCAGAGGATCCGAGAGTTTCAGCCACTTGTCCAAGGGCGCACAGAGATTAGGTGGACTCCAGAATCTGTCACAGATTGTACGGTTTCTTCCATGAATAATAGCGTTGACCTTTGTTCCTCCCTTTTCCCTGAGTTTTGGATAGAGAGACTGTCACCCAGACTGAGGAGGATCTGGGTGTTTGATTTACCAACACATGCATTTTGTGACCCCACAGAACCTTCTGGTGGGTGCCTGGAGTTACAAGGAGAGCAGCTGCCCTTTTCTTTGCCCCGAGGAGCCGGCTCGGCGACCTCCTTCAGTCCTGGAAAGTCCCTTCCCCCGTTGGACTCCGGCTTTCCGCGGGCGTCTCCTGCTGCTGAAATAAACCCGGGCGAACCCCTCAGTGAACTGTGGAGCACGAAGAGCTGGGGCTGCTCCTCCAGCCTTGGCCAGAGGCGTGAGGGGCCATTTTCTGCGGCGCAGCTTTGCTCCTCCGGCTGCTCCAGCTGAACTGCTCTTAGTACTTCTGCGCTTCCTTTGCCAAGAGCCTCCCGGTACTGACTGCTTTCCTCCAGGGACCCTCCTGGCGAGCTCGGCTTTCGGCATCCCTCTTCCTTGCTCTTTTAAAGAGCGAAGTCCACGAACCCGGGCCCAGGGGGCGCAGACGCTGCACCACAGGAACGGCTCGCTCAGCTCTTTAAGCTCCCCGTGCTCCCCGCCACCCCGGCACCTGTGCAAACCCCACAGGCGCCGCTGAATGACTTTACGTGCTCCAACCGTGAGACAGGCGCCGTGGGAAGAATGAGCAACACGTCCCTTTGGAACTATTTGTAAAAACAAATAGCAAGCTTGATCTGGATTTTCGGTACTGTTGCAGAGAACAGAACTAACCACAGTGAGTTTGTAGCACAAGACAGGCGTGATCAGAAAACGGCGAAGGCTCCAGCAGCACAGTCCACCCTTTCCTCCAGCGCCCTCTCCCCATTTCCACTCACGTTTTCCCAAACAAGCTACCAAACAGGCTATGCCTCTTCCGTGTATTCACTTCAGCCACGGGGCGACTTGAATGGACTGCGCTGTTCACGTTTCCTTCCTTGGTCTTTGGTGGATTAGAAACCAGAGCGCGTTAAGATAAAGAAATTAGGTCAAAGCAGCCTTAGTTAAACAGGTTCAAATCTCTATTTTTATTTTTTAAGAGATGGGGGTCTCACTCTCGTCCAGGCTGGAGTGCAGGGGCACAATCATAGTTCACTGCGGCATCAATCTCCTGGGCTCAAATGATCCTCCAGCCTCAGCCTCCCAAAGTGTTGGGATTACAGGCGTGAGCCACTGTGCCCTGTCAAATTTTTTTACGTGTTGCATTAACACCACCATGTAATTGGTGGCCTTCATATGGTCTATGGAAGCCAATGCTTCTTAAAGAATAAAGAATAACAGGAGACCAAGTACACATTTAGGGACTTAAAAAAAATCACAAAATATTTTGTTGAAAGCATCTTTATGTTTTTAAAATCAGGAAGAGCTTGCTGTTCAAACTTCTAAAATGGGTTTTTGAACACAGTGCAAACAGTTTAGAGAAAGAATAATACTTAAAAAAAAATGCCGGATCCATTTTTTTCTAACGAATGATCAGGAAAGCAGAGGCGAGAGGTGACTTTAATTTCATAAGCAAATAGACACCCGTGTGCACATCCGTACATCCGTTTTCTGATTACATCATACTACAGGCAACAAGGGGGCCTGGCCAATGCAGGACTTCACAGACAGAGCTGCCAGACTGCGAGTGGAACCCAGATACTGAGTCTTCCAACACCTTACTGGGGAGACAATGAGAGTCAGGTACAGCTGAGAGACAACACTAGATGAGCGGTGCTCTTTGCAAGAAGAGGGGAAGAGGACAGTATGTTCATCCTGAGAGCTGCTTCTGAGAACTCCAGGGAGGAAATCCAGAACCCTGATCTACATGGAATGACAGATGATGGACTCGCTGTGGACTCCTGCAGTAGTGTTCCTGGTTAGAACACTGATTTCTTCCCCGAAGGCGATGTGGGCACAGAACTGAGCGGGGTGAATGGGAGGGCCGGGTAAGCACTGCTCACTCTGTGAATTTGCTCTGGCAGCCCAAGTCCTTACCGTGAGGCCTGTCTGCCTGCTGCTGCTGTTACCGGTCTCTTAGTATGGTTAGTCATTTCTCTTGTTCCTGCTGCTGTTAAAAGGGCTTTTCCTGTTTCTCCTTCTCCTTGAAGCTGGCCAGACATCTGTGGAGTGACAGGGCCTTTCCAAGAAGGCAGAGCCAGAGTGATGAGATCCACACAGGTCAGTGAGATGAAGACACAAAGGAACACATAAGCACCCAGGCCTTGGTCCCAGTGACAGTTACTTGTTAAGAGAAATGTGTGACAGACCCCCCTCCTGAGCCCTTCTGATGGCATCGGAAACTTGGGGAAACATACAGTTTCTTCTGGGAGAAGACTAGCTGGTGCCACTAGAACATGTATCCCAGTAGGGCCTGGGGTCACCTTCCCACCATATTCTAAAGAATCACATGCTCCTGCTGGAGCAGCAGGTGTTGCAGAGGTATGAATGGGGTCAAGTCAGTCTCTGGGCAAGAAATCCAAGCTGCTGGCCTTTCTGGGCAGGGCGACAACTGGAGGGAAGAGTGCAGCAGCATTCTGCCATTGCTGGCAAGTCTCCATGAGGGTGGGAGGGACCCCAAGATGGCGAGTTGACTTGGAGGCAGCGTCTGTCCCTGTCGCACTCAGAGCCGCAGATGGAAGGAGCAAGTCTCTCAGCTCCTCATGTTTGCATCTGTCCTCAGCATGGCTCCCCTTCTGCCTCCCTTCTTGCAGGTGTAAATCTCCTGCAGCCCCTCTCCTTCCTGTGTGAACGCAGAGTTGGCTCTAGAGTGTGAGTGGAGCGTCTGGCAGTGGTTACTTTGCCGCAGTCACTGTAATTTTGGTGAAACGGCACCAGGATTGATCGCTCCCTCCCCTCCTCTTAATGTAGGAGGTTCAGAAGACAGGGATCTGGTCTCTCCGAACCACATCAAGGTCATCATCCAAAGTTAACAAAACCTGAAATGAGAGGGACGGAGGAATGAAAGGAATGGACAGTCACTGTCACGCTCAGTCCCTGTTTTCTCTCGGAGACATCCACAGACTGGAAACTGTGAGTCCCCTCATGTCTTCTGCAGCTCTCTGCAATGCCTTGCTCTTAATAGGCACTTGTCATAATTATACAATTCATTTCTCAATTAATTCAAATATTTGTGAAGCTATTCCAGTTGCTATGGAGATACAGTTTGGAATGAAAGAGAAAAATCCCTAGTCTCCATGCAGCTTACATTCTAAAGAGGGCTTTGGAGATGAAACAAATACACAAGTGAAATGTAGCACGTTAGATAGTAATAAGTGCTAAGGATAAACGTTAAATAAGGGAGGAAATAGAGGAGGCTTCAGGTGTGAGGAGGTAAAAACTTTTGATGGGGTGGCCTGGGAAGTAATTACTTAGAAGGGAACATTTAGGTCAAGACTTAAAGGGCATGAAGTCCTGTTGGATAGAGTGTTGCTGTATAGAAATGCACCCTTCTCTATTTCCAGTTCCGACTACCACTGCCCCCGCGTGGAACCTTCACTCCCGCTTTTGTTGTCTCTGCCTCTCTCATGAAAGATGCTCACAAGTAAAAGCCATAGGAATGTCTGTACAGAGTGGGTAAGCTTCCCAAAGTGGCCACTAGGGGGTACCCCTGCTCCACTCCTGAAGTTACCCGGCAGGCCTGAGCCTGCTTAGCGTGGAGCCGGGGAGTCTAGCAGGGTGAATTGTCAATTGAACCTGCCTACAGGCACCACGGACTTTTAATTGGGAAAAGTCAAAGTTGGGATTAAAGGATGAAACTATAATCCAGGGTTGATATAAATACGCATGGCCTCTGCGAAAGGGTTGGGGCAAAAAAATAGACAAAGTACAGGAGAGATTTGGGACAGACTGGTCAGGAGGCAGCAGGGGCATGGCTGCTATCCCAGGGCACTTAGGGAATCTGTAACATATTTGTGATACATTCAGGGAGGGGGAGGAGGAGGGGGGAGGAGGGGGTGGAGGGGGAGGGGAGGGGGAGGAGGAGGGGAGGAGGGGAGGGGGAGGGGAGGGGAGGGGGAGGAGGAGGGGAGGAGGGGGAGGGGAGGGAGGGGTGTGAGTACCGCATGAGAAGGAGTTACCCAATGTTATCGGAATTGCTAAACGTCATTCCTGGGGAAATTCTGGGCACGTGGGTCTAATAACCAATTCCGGACAAATGTGCTGTGCTTTCGTCCCTCTGTGTCTAAAGACACGGAAGAGTAAAGAAAAACTAAAGATCTAACCAAAGGATACAAAATTTTTAAAAAGAAATAAGATGGTCTGTACATTGAATTACAAAGAGGAATTGGAAAGAAAAATGAGAGGAATATAAAAAAAGGATATAAGGAAGAGCAGCAGAAGAAAATGAGAGTACAAGATGTAAACAGAGAAGACAGTCACAAAAAGAGAGATCCGCACTCACCAAGAATGAGAAAAACAGAGCAGTAGCAGAGAGGAAGTGCCAGATGTCATGGTCGTCGAAGAAGTCCAGCAGGATACACTCGCGGTTCTTCTCCCGGGATTCGGCCGGCGTTCCCTGGAGGAAAGGGAGACAGGGCATGGGCAAGATTCCCACACTTCAACTGTTCAAAGAGTTGAGCATCCGAAAGCTACAAAAACACTACCAGTTGTCTGGTTCAAAAAGTTAATTTCCAAGAAAACACACATCCACACAAAAACCTGTACACGAAGACCGCAAAAGCACAGGCACGAAACAGAAACAGGGAAATGAAATGACATCAAGCTTCGAAGCTTCTGCACAGCAAAGGAAATGACGAACAAAGTGAAGAGACGGCCCACGGAAGGGGAGAAAATATCTACCAACTATCCGTCGGATGAGAAATTAGTAATCAGGATAGATATGGAGCTCAAACAACTCTAAGGGAAAAAACCTAACTTAAAAATGGGCAAAAGATGTGAATAGACGTTTCTCAGAAGTCATACAAATGACAAACAGGCGTATGAAGAGGTTCATTGATCATCAGAGAAATGCAAATCAAAAGTACAATGAGATATCACCTCACCCCTATTAAAAAGGCTTGTATCAAAAACACAGGCGAGGATGTGGAGGAAAGGGACCCTCAGTCACTGTGGCGGGAGTGTAAATTAGTACAGAAAACTAAAAAGTGAGCTACGGCTGCGTGTGGTGGCTTGGCCTGTAATCCCAGCATTTTGGGAGGCCAAGGTGTATGGACCACCTAAGGTCAGGAGTTTGAGACCAGTCTGGCCAACGTGGTGAAACCCTGTCCCTCCTAAAAATGCAAAAAAGATTAGCTGGGCGTGGTGGCAGGTGCCTGTAATCCCAGCTACTCAGGAGGCTGAGGCAGGAGAATCACTTGAACCCGGGAGGTGTTGCAGTGAGCCGAGATCATGCCATTGCACTCCAGCCTAGGTGACAGAGTCAGACTCTGCCTCAAGAAAAAAAAAAAATGAAAAAGAAAAGAAAAAAAATAGAACTACCATATGATCCAGCAATTCTACTACTTGATATATATCTAGAAGAAAAGAAATCAGTCAGCGAGATATCTGCACTCCCATGTTGATTATATAGTATGGTTCACAATAGGCAAAATATGGAATCAATCTAAATGGCCATCAGCGAAAGTATGGACAAAGACAATATGATACACATATCTACATAGACAACGTACACACACAGACACACACACACACAAATAAAAAAGAATAAAACCCTGCCATCTGCAGCAACACATGGAATGTGGGGCCATTATAATAAGTTGAACTAAGTGAAGTGTAGAGAGAGAGACTGCATGTTCTTAGTCACATGAGGGAGCTAGAGAAGTGGATCTCGTGAAGATACAGAACAGCTCGGTAGTTACCAGAGTCCGGGAAGGGCAGTGGGGAGAGGGAGACGAGGGGAAAAGCAATAGACATGTATTTATTATCACTGAACTGCACGCTTTACAATGGTAACAGCGGTAAATTTTATATGTATATTTTACCTCAAGAAAAAAAACGTGTATGCAAATATTCACAGCAGGATCATTCATACAGACACAAAAATAAAAACCATGCAAATGTCCATCAACTGATGAGCAGGTGGGTAAAATGCGCATATGAGTACCGTGGATTGTTATTCAGCAATGACTAGACAGGACGTACTGTGTATGTTACCACGTGCTCGAACCTAGCACACATGAGGGAAAGAAGCCAGACACGAAGGCCACGTACCATGTGATTCCATTTATATGAAATGTCTGGAATAAGCAAATATGCAGAGACGAAAGGTAGATTTAGTAGTTGCTTAGGGCTAAGGGGTCCGGAGAAGTGAGGAGTGAATGCTAACGATGTCAGGTTTCTTTCCAGAGTGACAGAAGTGTTCCAAAATTCACGGTGGTGACAGTTGTGGTGGAATGCTGAGACTTCTTACTGTTCTGTGCCTCAGATATACCACTAATTTCCTAGGCCCGGGCTCTGCTGTCTATGGACTGGACATAATGACACTCCCGCTTGGGTATGTGTTGATGGGTGGAGATGGTGAGAAAGTGGTGAAGATGAGCACTACTCAGGGCTTTCGAGCACCTGAGCAACCCCTGGGACCGGCACCCTAATACAACACGCACTGAAGACCACGCTGAGCATCCCCTGGGACAAGCACCCTAATACAACACGCACTGAAGACCACGGTGAGCATCCCCTGGGACAAGCACCCTAATACAACACGCACTGAAGACCACGGTGAGCATCCCCTGGGACAAGCACCCTAATACAACACGCACTGAAGACCACGGTGAGCATCCCCTGGGACCGGCACCCTAATACAACACGCAGTGAAGACCACGGTGAGCATCCCCTGGGACCGGCACCCTAATACAACACGCACTGAAGACCACGCTGAGCATCCCCTGGGACCGGCACCCTAATACAACACGCACTGAAGACCACGGTGAGCATCCCCTGGGACAAGCACCCTAATACAACACGCACTGAAGACCACGGTGAGCATCCCCTGGGACCGGCACCCTAATACAACACGCACTGAAGACCACGGTGAGCACCCCCTGGGACCGGCACCCTAATACAACACGCACTGAAGACCACGGTGAGCATCCCCTGGGACCGGCACCCTAATACAACACGCACTGAAGACCACGGTGAGCATCCCCTGGGACAAGCACCCTAATACAACACGCACTGAAGACCACGGTGAGCACCCCCTGGGACCGGCACCCTAATACAACACGCACTGAAGACCACGCTGAGCATCCCCTGGGACCGGCACCCTAATACAACACGCACTGAAGACCACGGTGAGCATCCCCTGGGACCGGCACCCTAATACAACACGCACTGAAGACCACGGTGAGCATCCCCTGGGACAAGCACCCTAATACAACACGCACTGAAGACCACGGTGAGCACCCCCTGGGACCGGCACCCTAATACAACACGCACTGAAGACCACGGTGAGCATCCCCTGGGACCGGCACCCTAATACAACACGCACTGAAGACCACGGTGAGCATCCCCTGGGACCGGCACCCTAATACAACACGCACTGAAGACCACGGTGAGCATCCCCTGGGACCGGCACCCTAATACAA